ACTGATTTGTAGCCACCATGACCCTGAACAATATGTCAAAGGTAATGCCAGGTTTCCTTTCACTTAAATAAACATAATCGAGACACAATGACAGCTATTCGTTTGAGCATTCAATTATCACAACAAATCGTCATTTAAGCAGTAGATATAACTAAATATTTCCCACAATTACTTTTATCATGAAAGTAATTCATCCTCAAATTAGTTTCTTCCCAATGCAGATGTGTTCCTGTGAATCCAGTGATGTTTTTAGTAGACTCAACTAGTTCATACTACATGTAGACATGTATTTCCATTTTTTCGAGTCATTTACAGAATTTTTAACAATGCTCTTTTGCTAAGTTGCTAAGTTTCAAATAGACTCAACAAGTTTATACTACGAAGTTCGGCTCCTGTAGACATATATTTTCATTTTCTACGAGACATTTACCATATTTTTACAATCCTCTTTTGATACGTTTTACTAAAACGGCATGAGCAGTAGACACCTAACCATTCTTAAAGGTAAAAGTAGACGCAAAGTTATGCAACTTCTCGTAAACCTCAATAACTTGCTCAACCAATCAACAAAGACTCACGCACAGTTGTGCGCTGTCGACTATGCAAGAAACCAATGATTCTCGCTCAATTCGTTAAACGCTGAGTCGCCATATAGAACACATTACCCTCAATTAAGGAGTAAATATTGAAAGATCGAAGCATTAAAAATAGCAAAACAGGCAGCCGATTCATTAGGTTAACCAAGTAAAGTCACTGTATTTTGCGTTCATTCTTTGATAAGTTGAGTTGGACCAAATTCCGGAATTCGAAAATAATACCTTGCCACACAACAACAAATTTTTCAAAGTCATGATGTAAATTTTATTGCGCTGATTACTAATCAAATCAATTAGAATTGCCGTTTGCTTTACATCACTTATATCAACACCTGCACTGGATGTGTTCCTGTGAATCCAGTGAGATTTCTAATAGACTCAACTAGTTCATACTCCAAAGTTCAGAAATCACCACTGGAGAAGTGAATATATTGCATTTGAATTTGAAACTAGTTGGTGGTTAAATGGCTCTTCAAGTTCATTTCCCCACTACACGACAACTTGAAGTGAGGCAACAACTGTAAGATTGGCTGTAACATCAGCTGAACTATTTTGGTGCTGAGTGATTGTCACAAGTACAGAGACAAAAGGCCACAAAATAATAACTGTTTTAATGAAAATAGATCAAAAATTAAAATATAAATATTTTCTCTTTTCAGCTCATTAACAATGGAACAGTTACAAATATTGCATACGAATTTTGAGTTCAAAAGCAAAAATTGTTTAAATTGACGGAAGTGGGAAATTTCAAAATTGCTGGTTTCTCTCTTATGCGAACTCTTTTGCACTCGATCACAAACTCAATTTGGTTTCATCTAAAAATGTGTTGATCTTGTTTCAATATATCACGAATATCGGTCTTTTCTTAGTTCTCCACTTCAATTTATCTTAACTTGTTGATGGTCTGTGATATACGCTTTTGCAGCTAACAATTGAAGACCCCGATGGCACCAAACAAGAGTGATAAGAGCAAAAAGGTAAGAAACAAGTCTCTTTGCATTTCATTTGCAATACACGTTCGAGTGTTTATTGGTAGACCGTTCATGCATATGTGGATGTTGAGTCAATTGATGTGAAAGGTGGAAAGATGGAAAGTGAGATACCAAGAAATCAGCAACATGAGTAGATTCTTTAATTCACTTTTGTGATAGCATTTGGCGTCCACAGTCATTATTCATTATTCCTCATTAAAATGTTGCGGACACATTGCAGGCCTTCCATAGGGAATGGAAATTGGTGGATAATAGTCGCAATCCATTTGATCTGTACGAATGCCAAAGATGATCCCTGCATGTAGAGAGGGTCAGCATTGAGATTGCAACTCGGGTACCAAAACNTATGCGAACTCTTTTGCACTCGATCACAAACTCAATTTGGTTTCATCTAAAAATGTGTTGATCTTGTTTCAATATATCACGAATATCGGTCTTTTCCTACTTCTCCAATTCAATTTATCTTAACTTGTTGATGGTCTGTGATATACGCTTTTGCAGCTAACAATTGAAGACCCCAGATGGCACCGAACAAGAGTGATAAGAGCAAAAAGGTAAGAAACAAGTCTCTTTGCATTTCATTTGCAATACACGTTCGAGTGTTTATTGGTAGACCGTTCATGCATATGTGGATGTTGAGTCAATTGATGTGAAAGGTGGAAAGATGGAAAGTGAGATACCAAGAAATCAGCAACATGAGTAGATTCTTTAATTCACTTTTGTGATAGCATTTGGCGTCCACAGTCATTATTCATTATTCCTCATTAAAATGTTGCGGACACATTGCAGGCCTTCCATAGGGAATGGAAATTGGTGGATAATAGTCGCAATCCATTTGATCTGTACGAATGCCAAAGATGATCCCTGCATGTAGAGAGGGTCAGCATTGAGATTGCAACTCGGGTACCAAAACGTGTCTAGAAATTGCTAATGACTGTCATTACTAATGAGGCGCACGCCATCCAGCAGTAGTGAGAATTCTCAATTGATCCATGTGAGGAGAAATGGTGAGAAGTAGTGAAGGGTAAACTTGTTGTTCACTAGCTTCATTTCACTTTCCAACATGTACTAATGCCAGGGTGAACAATTTCTAATGATAATTTTCTCTTTAGAGTGAGGCCGTGGAAAAAGACCTTGGCGACAACCTTCTTGCGGAGTGGCCAATCATGTCACTCGCATATAGGCAAAAGATGAGGAGGAGTCTTCCACAATTGCACAACAGCCTACATCTCTACGAGTTGGCTGATGTGTTCGAGGACTTTGTCAGAAGCATTCAACCTTCTGGCAGAACCATCGCAAGAAGGATAAGTTGAGTGGCTCAATTGTATCACCACGCTCTTAATGACTTCATATTCACGCAATAATTTAACTAAACCTGTAATCGATTTGGTTCTTATAATACCTATCTGTTCCCGTTCATTTCGTACTTTGGAGGTGCTGTCGCTGCAACTGGGGAATACTTGGCAGAGCTCTTAGGTGAAGTCATTCATAGATTTCAATCACAAATGGCCAGAGAGGCAGGCATTCGATGAATCAAAACATGATGCATTAAAGTTATTAGTGTAATACCAGCAAATTCCCCAGCATCTAAGTGAATGCTTGAAATGTAGCCGAATCAGCGTTGTCTCCCACTTCTCATCTCTTCACTTCTTCAATTGAAGAAGGCATTTATCACCTATTTGAGGCGATTCCTCCAAGAGGAGTATTCGCGATCCAGGTTGGAGTTGATTGGCTCCTCGGCGAGTGGCTTTGCAACAGAATCCAGTGATCTGGATCCCACAATGGTGTTTGCCAAAGGTAGCCGAGAGGCAAACATTTAGAAGCATGGAGAAAAATATGATCAAATTGAGGCAAGTCCACTCCACCAATTCTTCTCAGCACGCGTAATCCTTCCATCCATTTACCCACTCACTCGCTCACTTGCTATTTTTCCTCCGTAGGTGCTCATGGAAATCTCCTCAAAGCTGATAAATAATAAAAAGAGTTTGAGGATTGAAGACATTAAAGCGGTTCCTTTTGCAAGGATGAGAATCGTAAAGTTCAAATCCTATAAGCACCAATTCGCAGTCGGCATGAGCTTCTCCAATCATTTGGTTAGTTGAATGTCGTATTTAGGAATGAGCAGTGTCATCTGCGTACTCAGTAGCCTCATCTCTCCTTGCCTTACTTTACCTCACCTCACCTCACCTCGCCAATTCCCTTTCTTCCAAGGCACTTCGGAAAACCGGTTTACTCAATGAGTATACCAAGTACGAGCCACTGCTAGTGAGTCTGGTTGTGATTCTGAAGAAAATCATCAAGGTAGGAGGTGTCTTTTTGTGCATGCGAGGCATGTACAATGGTCTCTGAGGCGTGAGAACGAAAAACACGCATTTTTGCTTCCAGGAAATCGACAACTTGCCCTCGCGTGTGGGTGGAATTTTCTCCCATGCCTACTCTCTCATAATGATATTCTATCCAACAGAAAGGCTACCTGCCCTGCCTCCAGACAGTAAGAGCCATTGAAATTGACCACAACCTTCTTCACTTTCCATCTATCCACACAACTGGCATGGTGTGGACTGTCGTTGTGATGGATTTAGATACGTCATGGAAAGGGAAGAGGCGTTCAAGTCTTCACATGCAACCGAACATGTCTAGAACATCGTAATGCCTAAGATATCAAGAGTTCCATCATAAATGTAGTGCTAGGTTGTGGTAGAAGGCGGATTAGTTTTGACTAAGTCTCCAAACATATTTGATAACTCGTAGAGGTGCAGGCTGTTGTGCAATTGCCCATCTTTTGTCTATTCGCACTCGAAAGCATTGGCCTCTTCGCTTCACAATCCTTCACACCACCTTCTTCCATGGTCTCAATCTGAGACACAAAGATCGATTCCCTCCAGTTCGTACAACATTCATCAAGTTGAAGACCAGTGAATTAGTAAAACGACCGAGCTTTCAGCAAAGTGTCCATTCTCATACAACACACAAGTCGTTGTAGCTTTGAGGTGGTGTTCAAGGCACTGGTTCCTTTATCAGTAGTTGATGGGTCTTTTTGCTAATGCATCTGGTAAGGAATAGGGTAGATAATTAAATAGTTATTCTGGTTGGAGCTTTCTAACTGCTTCAACCACAGCACAGCAACTGTCATGGCTTTGTGAAGCATCATATCCAAACTCAATCTATGAAATTTTGATTTCCTAATATGCTGGTGATTAGATGTCACTACAAATTTCAAATTGATTACGTGTCACCTTGAAGGGAAGAGAAATCTCGATAATCTACATCATATGGATTGACACGTCTTTGGTGCAGATTATGTGCCGTTAGTGAATGAGAAGATGAGGGAATGGCGAACATATTTGGCGATGAACTTAGTTCAGAAAGAAAGGTTATTCTGATTAGCCCACTAAATCAATAAAACTGTGACAGCTTGAAATTCTAAGGTACACTCACCATGTCCAACTTCTAACTTTGCTTATATTGTGCAAATAGGCAAGGCCTAAGGATTCACTACCGCCTTCCATCTACAACTGTACTACATTTCGTTTTGTTTACATCTTTATCCACTTAGAGTTGGCTTAATGTTCAACTTGCTTATAACTCTTATATCAATATAATGCCTTTCCCTCTTGTGTGATTATAGCCAAAACACTTGTGTCAATACGATCTCATAAAGCATCATTAATATAACATTATTTATTCAAGTTATGTTGTGAAGTTCATGGGCGTTTTTGTTAATAATTAGAAGAGTTGTCTCATGCCAATTGAGAAGTGAACTAACTGGGTGAGGGAAACATAAAAATTTTTTTGTAAGCTTAATATATGTTTCATATGGATTGAAGGACATGAAATTTCAGATTTGCTCAATAATTCATCACGATGAATGTGTTGTAATCATTTCAATAATTGGTAAGTCTCACAAATACAGATATTCGCAACATTGAAGTAAAATTTAAGTTTAACTGTTTGATGATGACGTGTTTAGCCAATCGGAGAATAATTTAAATTTACTTTCATTATTATTATAAAGATTATTGTTATAAGCAATATTGGCTGTTGCGCGCATTATGGATAATTTAGGTTTTGTTGAGTTGGGTAAAGCTTTTTTGCCATGGATATAGGCAACTGTTCTGGGGAAAGAGGACATATTTTATCAATTGTTGGAAATAAATCAATGCACATAAACCATCAAATAAAAGAAATTACAATGAATAGAAGATGACGAATTAATTAATCTAATTATGGAATACCATTTATCCTAAACATGCACCCTCCTATATTGAATCCTATGCTGAATGAGACTAAAGAGGAAGTGGAATGTGGTGCACTGTGCCTCAACTCCCTCTATCCTCCTCGAAACGAGAAGGTGGCACTTCTGAGAAAACATCGACAATCGCAGTCATGTTCAACTTCAAAATGCACAAAGAGACTTTTGAGGGTGTTCACACAAAACGGAAGAAGTATGGCAGAGCACATTTGTAAGTGGGCACTTGAAGCCATATTGAATGCACGTCATGAAGCATAAAGCCAGTTAAGTGGTAACAATGGCGTCGTCAAATGTCAAACTCATTGAAACGGGAAAATAGAACTTTCGATAACTCTTGTGTAACTCATGAATAGCAAAGTGGACAGATATTAAAGCATGGTTACAAATTTACTAATAGGCAATTGATTGGGAACATTTAAAATACTGTTATCGAAAGATTCAAATGCCCATTTACATTTACATTTTCATTGAAACGAATTCGACACCTCTACATGCGCAATATTGGCAAGAGATTGAGAGGTGAATGTCCAACTGATTTTAAATTTAATCGGAGTACGAGAAATGAATTGATGATCTTGTTTTTAAATAAAAAATATTTTTTTAAATATTCCTCATCATCTGAATTTCGATTATGCTTGGATATGAAACCTGTTTTTTAATATTTAGAATAATTTTATTCACATATTAATTTAATCCTCTTTCTATAGCTATCTGCACATTTTTGTCAAAGGGCGTTTCACATTACTTCACTCCTTTGAGTCAATTGTCCTTATCTCATGTCTGAAAACCTAGACAAATGTGGATAATAATAGCCATAGTAATGAAAATAAATTCGAAGGAGTATTGTACTTTTTCAAGTAGCGGGAATTCATTTTGTTCAATATCAAACCACTTTGTTCATAAAATCAATCATTATGATTGCGGAACAGCTACCTTCATGTCTCTTTGCGCATCTACGTTTAATTTCCACAAGCGATTGAATTCAAGTGAGCTATGCTAGTAGACCGGGATCTGAAATTTAAGCTGTCAATATCAATTTTCTTAAGCGCTTTATGAACATAAGTACACTGAAAGAATGCCAGGCAAAACTAGTAAAATTGAGGTTTCTTCATATAAGGTGTTATTTTTTATTAAGGTACATTATATAAACTATATATGTATTGACATATGTACATATAAATATTTATTTATTTATATTTTTTATAATTACACACAGTTTAAACACGATTTCCCCTTTGGCTATGTGTCCCTAATGGATTGTCTACGAGCTGTAAATTCTCAAGCCTTTTGCGCGTCTACTTTACCGAAATGTGAATGAATGCACAATTCATCTCTATAGTTAGATCTTCTTGGTAAACACCAATGAGACTGTTGAATCTGGCTATGTACTCCAATGTTTGCCATTTATAAGTTGGTTTTTCTTCTATTGGTGCATACGAATATTGATATAAATAATTTGAAAATTTCAAATAATCCCATTCAGTTGATGTTGTTAATGTATCACCAATTTTTTCTGGGTCTTGCATTATTGCGCCAATCAAAAGCTTACGTGAGCTGCGATAAATGCTTGAGTTTTACCTAAGAGCTCAGCTACAAATTGATTGGTTACTGAGAACTATATATATTTGAGGTAAATGTTAAATTACACTTACGAGGGCAATGATTACCATTCTATTCGTTTTGATCTCCCTACAGTTGACTGTTTCTCCTGTAATAGATGGCATAGACTTGCATCAATCAAATTGTTCGTGAATGGTGTCAACGCTGTCTGGGAAAGCATAACCTCTAATATTTTATTTGGGCGAATCAGAAGTAAGCAGAAATTCAATGCAATTAATATTTCATTGATTTTTAGTTGGACGAATTCTTTGTCAATAAGAATCGTAAAAATTTAAAAACCAATATAACAAGTGGCAGATGTTATGCAGAAGACCAAGTGATCGGAGAACCGTGCAATATGCATGATGGTAATGTTTTCCTGTGGGCCCTTATCACTACAAATTTCCATTTTTCACATAGGTTATTTAAATAAAACAATCAATAACGTTACAAGATTCAAAA